TCCAAGGAGATTCACTATCACCACTACTCTTCTGCTTTGCATTAGCGTCACTCAGCTACGTACTGAACAACAGTAGGTACAGATATAAGTCACAGAATGGCAAACTGAATGACCATTTCTATATTGAGGATCTTAAATCGTCTGCCAAGAATGACAAGCAACAGAAAAAAAAACAAAACATCTCATCATTGTCAAAACCTTCACTGAAAACATTAGGAGGTATTTCGGAATCGACAAATATGCCAAAGCCACCTTCAAATGCGGCAATGTACGGATTTAGATTTAGATCGAAACATATTTAAGCGAGACAAGCGTATAGAACTAGACTAATAATAATAATAATAATAGTGCGTGACATGATTTTCCAATGTCTGATAACTTGACAATAATGTGACCGCCCTCGAATATTAAGTAATTAATCCTCGTCAAATAGCGATATTGGGGCGGTGGGGGGTCGTTCTGTTCGTTTTCCTGCATCCTTATACTGTTTGTCAAAAGCCCACTTCATTTTAGTTTGTAAGCTGGGAATAGGGTGCCAAACAGACAAATCATACTAACAGTGAAGGATGATATATATATATATATATATATATATATATATATATATATATAAAATGCGAATGTTAGTGTGTCAGTGTGTCACACTTTTAAACTTTACTCCTAGAGACCGGAACCCAACATATCATACCATTTTGGAATCAGAACGACTCCGTAAGCAAATTAAAAAAAAACAAAAAAAAAACATTGCGCACCAGATCCTGACCCGAAATCCTGAAATTTTGGACTCTGTGGCGGCAGAACAATTATCGTTGAATTTTCAAAAGGTAAACTTAAATATCAATGCAATACTGAAATGCAGCGATCAATTTTGAGTTCTTCTGTAGATTATCGTAGCCTATCGCGTACGGAAGCGGCATGCCTCGCAAAAAGAAATATCCATCAACAGAGGGCCAGATTGCAATCAAAATATCATTCCAACACGCTACATAAGAGTTATCATGTTTCAAAACAAGAGCCGAAAGCTTCAATATAATTATTTGAATTAAATTGAATTAAAGTACTAAGCTCTGTTCCATCTTCAAGCGAAACTTTTTTGGAATAACTTTTTTCTGAAATTTACGCGTTTTATAAGCATATTCATTATTGAAATCAAAATTTCTATGGTAACGGCTAGAGCAATTTCGCTTGAAGATGGAACAGAGCTTAGTACTTTAATTCAATTTAATTCAAATAATTATATTGAAATTTTCGGCTCTTTGTTTTGAAACATGAGAACTCTTATGTAGCGTGTTGGAATCATATTTTTTAAATAAATAATTATATTTATGCTCTACTTTTTGTATCGAGCACTATTTTTTTTTTAAAAATAATAACAAAAAATACTAAAGAACTTTGGATTATTTACCTAACGAGTTCTTTTCTATTTTCTATATATTTTTCACACACACACACACACACACACACACACACACATATATATATATATATATATATATATATATATATATATATATATATATCATCCACAGACAAACTGTTTCAATGTATCACAGCCCCTCAGTGTGGCTTTTCAGAGCCTTCAAAAATTACACATCTGACATCAGTCAGAGATCTTACTCCTAGGCCAGAAAGAGAGGAAATCCGCAAGCGAAGAACGATAGCTTCAAGCCGCGGTCGAAATAACCCAGGCCTTCATCGCACAGCAGGAATGAAGGGAATTTTAAAGTGCAGTGCGCAGCAGATCATTATTCAAACATATATTGTTAAATATAACAGACAACGAATGTCTATTATGTTAGAACGGCTCATATCAAACAAAATAGAGATTCGTTATGCGTTATATTTAGTAGTATATGTTTGAATATATATATATATATATATATATATATATATATATATATATATACATTGAATCAATTAGCAATATTAATGCAATTAATGGCGAATTCTCTTCGGTAACAGACTTAATATAATCATTAACCTACTAACAATCCACTGAATGATGCGATCCTTATGAATAAAATTGTTGTCAGATGGATCTGGTGTATTTTTAGAGCAGCAAGTACTTTCGAAAACTTCATGTTCTCATCATCAGGCTGTAATCTCACTTGAAATATTTGAACTTTAGCGTTGCGTCTTGCACGTTCCAATACTATATAACCGTTAATAAATAACACATTCTTAAAAAAATATCTTTCGGTCTAAGATACATTTATTACGTCTTCGAAGTTTGTTTTTAAAGGAAAAAATTACATACACACATACATTTTGAGAATTATATATATATATATATATATATATATATATATATATATACAACTGATTTTTTTCAATTGTAGTTTTAAGTCTTTCTTTTAGTTTTCAGCTAAGGTTAAGTGTATGATCGACATACGTGGTATAAATTTGTTTTGTATTTTTTGAAAGTTTTGTTTCCAACATAGACATAATAATTGGTGGGGAAGTTGGATCAAGGGCGTTATCAAAAGTAACGCCTTTACTTTGTATACATGCATGTTAAATTTTGCGACGTAAAAGACTAATTTTCGTCATTCTATGTTCATACATGGAATACTCTTGGAGAATATTACACCTCATAGACGCTACTGCGAATAATATTACTTGCATATGCCATTCACATTTTACTTTGTGAATGACATATAGATGAAGGAATATAAAGGAGATGTCAAAGAAGCTAAGAGATGAGTAGAAAAGGGAGAAGACCAGCGAAGATTAAAAGATAAAGTGAAAAGAATAGGGGAAGAAAAGAAAGAAAGAAAGAAAGAAGTGTGGAAGGAAGAAATGAAGGAAAATATAATAAAAACAGATGCAAATAAAAAGAAAAGAAAAGAAGAAAGAAAAGGAGAGAGAGAAATAATAAAAAAGAGAATGAGAGGAAGACGGAAGGAAGGAAGTATAACAAAAAAGAAGAGAATTGAAAGAGAAAGAAAGAAAGAAAGAAAGAAAGAAAGGAGGAGAGAAATATAATAAAGAAGAGGAAGGAAGGAAGGAAGGAAGGATGGAAGGAAGTATAATAAAAAAGAAGAGAAGGGAAAGAGTAAAGAAAGAAAGAAAGAAAGAAAGAAGTATAATAAAAAGAGAGAGTGAGGAAAGAAATATAATAAAAAAGAAGAGAGTGGAAAGAGTAAAGAAAGAAAGAAAGAAAGAAAGAAAGAAAGAAAGAAAGAAAGAAAGAAAGAAAGAAATATAATAAAAAGAGAGAGGAAGGAAGGAAATATAATAAAAAAAGAAGATAATGAAAAGAGTAAAGAAAGAAAGAAAGAAAGAAAGAAAGATAGAAAGAAGGGAGAAAATATAATAAAAAGAGAGAGAAAGGAAAGAAGGAAATATAATAAAAAAGAAGAGTATGGAAAAAGAAAGGAAAGAATTAACAAACGAACGAATGAACGCAATATAATAAAAACGATAGAAAGTGGAAGACAGGAAGGAATGAAAAGAAAAAGAAGAAAATAAAGAGGGAAGGGAATATAATAAAAAAAGAGGACAATGGAAAATGAAAGGAAGGAAGGAAGGAAGGAAGGAAGGAAATATAATAAAAAAAAGAAGAGAACTGAATGTGGAATGAATGAAGCAAAGCAAGTCGAAGATATAAAAAAGAAGAGAATGGAATGAGAAATGAATAATATAATGAATAAAGGTATGAAATATAAATACGGCAGGCTGTAAGAAGAAGAGTCGTAGGTGAAAAAAAGGAAGAAAATATTAGAAGCAAGAATAGCACACAGCACACACACACACAGACACACACACACACACACACACATATATATATATATATATATATATATATATATATATATATATATATATATATTAAAAAAAACAGACCACTTTAAAGGTTCCATGTAATAAAGAATTTCACTCACAGCCCAAAAATGAAAAGAAAATTTTTCAAGAAAAAAAATGAAAAGAAAATTTTTTAAAAAATCTGGTGAAATAATTAAAATTACATGGAACCTTGAAGTGGTCTGTTTTTTTATTCAAATTTATTTGCTCTGAATTTACATTGAGCTCTTTGGATTTTATCCTCCTTAGGTTTACCCATACGGATTACCTAGTTTTTTTTTTTATAAACTAAAAATATATATATATATATATCAGAAGAGCCAACAATATTTTCTGAGAGAAAATCAAGAAAGAGTTGCAGAAAAGAAGGACGCAAAAGAAATTTTCGAAGAAGAAAAATAAAAAGAGAATATCTACAAAGATTAGAAGAAGAAGAAGAAGAAGAAGAAGAAAAATTAGCAGATTCAAAAAGTGAAAAAAATGAATTCAAATAATATTAGAAGAATGAAAAAAGATAAGAATTTAAGATCAAATAATTAGAAGAATAAAGTAATTGAAGTTTGAAAGGTGAAGGAGAAAAACAGAAGAAAAAAATAGAGAAAAAATAAGAAAGAAAGTAAGAAAAGAAAGAAAGAACTAAAGAATGAACGTACAAGATAGACCGGGAGATGTAAAAATGTAGAAAATAAATGGAAGATTGTTAGATGAAAGAAAAACGAAATTTAGATCAAAGAAGATGGAGAAAAAGAAAAGAAGAAAGATTAAAAGATAAAGAAGGGAAAAGAAGAAAGAAGGAGAAACAAATGGAAAGAAAACAAAAGATGAAATCCCGGAAATTTTTAGAAGATTAAGAAGAAGAAAGGAAAGGAGGAAATAAAAGAAGAAAGGAAAGGTGAAAATAGAAGAAGAAGAAGAAGAAGAAGAAGAAGAAGAAGAAGAAAAGAAGAAGAAATGTCCCGCGGATAAAAAGAAAAAAATAAGTGGCTTTATTCCCCGGTGTCGCCTCGTTTGACGCATATGCATTTACGTACGTGGGATTCGTTTCATCATTTTTGACGCGGCAGCCGACATTGATTGCCCCCAGCGAAACACGAAGCTCTCGGCTTAACTTGAGAAACTCAAGCTAAAAGGCCGGCACCAGGTATTCCCACACCTGCTAGACATCGGATTCTAAAGAGAATAGTCCTTCTTTTCACATGATCTCCATTTTAGCTTTCTGTTTCTTTTTCTTTACTTCCGTCATTTTTTGCTTCCTTCCTTTTCAGTTATCCAGTCCTTCATATTGGGCGCTTTGCCCCTGGGTAAGGGTTGGAACGTTAGCCTTGCAGCATAACACTACTGTGCAGCGTGCTCACTTATAAGTGGCTGCCCAAAACCATTCTTCTGGCCTTAAACCAATCTAAGAGCAGATTCTTAAAATATGGCCGTGTGCCAGGCAAACTTATTTCCTTCTCTTTACATTTTGTGAGGTTAGTTTTTAGATCAAATAAGTCGGGGGAAGATTGCATAACGTCAGACATTCAGCTGGAAAGAGTTTGCCTAAATAAGGAATTAGCATTCACGATAATACCATAGTTATCTGCAGAAAACACCAAATACTTTTTGATATTGACCAAAATCATATAATAATGCACAAGAACTCTCAAGTGCGAGGTTATAGGGGTAAACTTTACTATATCAGTAACTGTCTGAGATGCGAATTATTTATTTTCTTTCTACAGGCGTTGACGATCATGACTCTCCACAATTTCTTTTCATTTATAGCTCTTAATTAATTTTGACGTTTAATAATTTCTCCAAAAACTTTTTTTGCCATCGAGCAAACAAAATCTCTTTCTTCTCTCTCTAAAAAAACTATTATATTTTATATATATATATATATCCATTTATATTTATAGTTCAAAATCAATGGGTAGACCTGAGGAGGATGATATCAGAGAGCTCAATGTAAAATTCAGAGCAGATATGTTTGAATCTCGTTAAGATTCCATGTAATAAGCTATTTCACCTAACCCCTTTAACAGGGTTCTGGATCATCAGACTATCCAAAAGCTGAAATGAAATATATATATATATATATATATATATATATATATATATATATATATATATATATGCCGAAATTGTAATCCCCATATAGTTGATTTTGGTTTTATTGTAAATTAACTATAAATTGTAATAAAAAAAATATTTTGAGCTTTTTTTATGGATCAGTTTTAAAATTTTATATTGGGGGACCAATTTGGTTAAATATACGAACTCATTTGTCATGTTTACTACATATATATATATATATATATATATATATATATATATATATATATATATATATATATATATTAAAAAAAATCCTAAAGAATCAGACAACTAAGGTTAAAATACATTGGGATCGTCACGGTTTTTAAAAACTTAATATTGAACACTTTGTTTAGTTATTTTACTTTACTTGTATCGAGTTTTTTTTCTTTGGACTCTAGCTTAGATTCTAGAAAAAGTACAGACATTGACGTAAGTACCATCTGAGAGAATTACCCCATGAAAATTATCGAAAATGTTCCCAATATAATAATAAATAATAACAATAGTGAAAAGAATAACAAAAAAAGATGAATATAGACAAGAAAAATATGGCAAAAAAAAGACAACAACAAGAACAATAATAATAATAATAGAAATATCTTTTTCCAATGTCTGATAATTTGACAATAATGTGACCGCCCTCAAAAACAAAATTAATCCTCGTCAAATTAAATAGCACTATTGGGGGAGGGGAGTCGTTCTGTTAGTCTTCCTGCATCCTTATGCTGTTTGTCAAAACAGAATTGTTCATATAAACAAACCATTCATTTTGAAAAGATGTTGCAACTAAATGTATGAAACAAAGTTTATCTTTGTAGTAAATAATTGCTTTTTTCTATCGGATATATATATATATATATATATATATATATATATATTATATATATTACCATTTTATTTATATATATATATATATATATATATATATATATATATATATATATATATGATAAATTAAAATGGAATCTGTGAAAAAATTTCAGAGGATAAAGATCTAATGAGATTATGTCTGATTGACATCCCAAAATTATTAATTAATGAACATCAAACACTTAAAAAACCATAGGCAATTTTTATTTATTTAATGTCATATAAAGAAATATAGTCTTCAATTTTCAAACCTGCAAAACATATGTAAACAGGAAAAATTTGGTTAAATTCAAGTATATACAGATGTTGGATTAAATCTATTATCCTATATATATATATATATATATATATATATATATATATATAAGTATACGATTGTGTATAAACAAATTTATTATTGTCTTGAAATAATTATTTTTCGAAAATTAAATAATTATGTTTATATCACTACAAATGTCCATTTTCGAATAAATGTCTGTTGATGGTGTTGAAACATCATCAAATGATATACCAGAACTGTTAAAACAAATTGTTATTGTTGTATTTTTTATATATTATGTAAATTTCGAATATATAATAAATATATATATATATATATATATATATATATATATATATATATATATATATAGGAAAATGGATTGTTTTATATTTTTAATTGTTCAAACGTTATTTTAAATGGATGACCATATTTGAGTAGATGCTCTGCTTTTATTTATTTATTAAGCCGTATTTTTTTTTACTTATTGGGTTTTCGCGAAAGTTCAAGTCGACCTTTTTTCGTTCATGTTCCAATACATCAAATTTAACGGCAGACATAATATGCTTACTTTTCCGATTAAAACGCACTTCGAACTATCTCTTGAGATAAAGAAAAAAAAAGTTTAAAATTACTTAATTTGTGTCACTTTTGCGTCCGTATAAAAATGGAAGATTATAAATTTCATCTTAAACACTTGATCTTTACCGTAAAGGCAAAATGCCTTGCAAACAAAACAAAAGATATGCGCTCTATACGCTGAAAGTTGATTAACTGACAGAATTGTACGGAAGTGGTTTGCTAAGTTTACAGTTAGTGATTGTAGTCATATTGACATAGAACGCTAAGGCAAACTCCCTACAGATGACGACCAAATGAAGAGATTGATTGAGAATAACCGGAATCACACAACGTGGGAATTGGCAGAAACATTAACTTTATTAAAATCTACCATCCATGAGCACTTAGTGAAGCTTGGGCGCTCAAATTGCTACGATGTTTGGGTATCACATGGTTTGAGTGAAAAGAATCTTATATCTCATTTCATCTGTGATTTGCTGTATAAGCGCAAAGAAAAAACATCCTTTTTAAGTAAAGTGATGAGAAATGGATCGTTTACAACAATGTTCAGCGAAAATGATCCTGGAGTAAGTGATATGATGCAGCTTTCATGCATTCATATTTGTTTTAATTTCGTAATTTCTTTCGGAATTTTTCTATTTAATGCATTTTTACATACCGTCGTTGTTTCTTCCACACTTGCTTTTTTTTTTCTTTGCTTTCATTCAAACTTCTTCGTACGTTTCCTTTAATTTCATTCTTCGTATTTTCGTTCTTTCGCAATTTATTCCGTGGTTGCTGCACTCGTTCTTTAAGTTTTTCATTCTCCTTTTCATAGGTATTCTCTTTCCTTTTTTTTCCTATTTTTTTTTCTTTTCCACAGTTTTTCTCTTACTTCTTCTCCTTCTTCTTCTTCTTCTTCTTCTTCTTCTCCTTCTTCTTCTTCTTCTTCTTTTTTCTTATTTATTTTCTCCTTCTTTTTTCCGATTTTTTTATCATTTTCATTTAACTGCTTTTCTTTTTCTTTCGTCTCCTTTACCTTTTTCATTTTGTTACCTACTTTCTTTTAGTTCTTTTTTCTTCGTTTTCAACTTCTTCTTTTTCTTCTTCTTCTTCTTCTTCTTCTTATTATTATTATTATTATTATTATTATTATTATTATTATTATTAATTTGTTTATTTCTTTTTGTAATTCTCTCAGTCCCCACTCGTATTCCTAATGAATCTGATCAACATTCTTTTTTACTCGATTTTTTTTACCTCGCGAAACTTTTTGAACTCGGTTGAGACTGGGAAGGGATGTGACGCCAATGTTTCAGTTTTGGTTTGATCTGTCTCTTGGGGAGAGAGAAAGACAGATAGAGAAAGAGAAAAGGAGCAGGAGGAATCAGATTTTTTTTTTGTTTTTGTTTTACGGCATATCAACCCCTCAATAGATTTTTTAATGCCGACAAGATTTTTAGGACAAATTCATATGAATAGAACATGTACTTTTTGTAAAAAAAAAAACAAAAAAAAAAACAATTTGCAGATCAGGTTCATTGACGTGTTTTGTATTGAAAGTTTTTTGTCGAGAGTGTTTTCTTGTTTGCTTTATTTTGTTTTACGGTATATCAACATCTCAATGGGTTATTTATTACCGACAAGATTTTTAGGATAGTTTCGTATGAATAGAATATGCACTGTTTGTAAGAAATCTGTTTATAGATCAGGTTTCATTGACATGTTTTTGTAAATGGGTTTGTGTAGAGAATCTGCTTTGGTTTATTTTCTTTTACGACATATCAACACCTCAATGGGATATTTATTGTCGACAAGATTTTTAGGATAGATTCATATGAATAGAATATGTATCCTTTGTAAGAAATCAGTAGATCATGTTTCATTGACGTATTTTTGTAAAGAAGTTTTGTGTAGAGAATCTGGTCTGGTTTATTTTATTTTACGGCATATCAACACCCCAATGGGTTATTTAATTTCTCGGATAGATTTGTATGAATAGAATATGTATTCTTTATAAGAAACCCGTTTGTGGATCAGGCTTCATTGAAGCTTTTTTTGTAAAGAGGGCTGTTTTCAAGAATCAAATGTATTTCTGGTAATATTTTTTCAAATAATGTACTGCTGGTAATTTTACTATAAAATTCTATTTTATATTTTCATGGTGTTTTAACCCCATTTTGGGGAATAACTATTTGTCCATACCTGGGACCCTAACAAGTGTTGCCAACCCGGGTAAGTTGGACTTAGGAACAACGGCAATTAAGAGGTGGTTGTACGGCCCTCAAAACCTCACGATCTGAGGCTTGGCTGTCGGATATAGTTAATCGTCATACCCAGAACGCTGGTATAAGATAATTCCTGGAATTGTAAATGGATCTAACCATTTTTACCGCATTTATCGACGGGTGAGAGTTTCACTTGACATCTGGTGTGATCTTGAACCCCAATTTACGTTCCAGACAAATAACCTCATTTTAACTATCGTTGGTGAATACTCGGGGTCTGCTCTGTGATTATAAATGTTACTAGTTTAGATCTGAAGCTATTGAAGATTACAAGCGAGGTTAGAGTGACACTGGTCCATAAGCGTTTATTATTATTATTATTATTATTATTATTATTACCTATTCTTCATTCATTTTTTCTTTTTACTTCTTTCTACCTTTGCTAATTTTTCTTCTCCTTTCCATTCTTAGTATTTATTGTTGTTGTTTTTTTTTTCGCCAGAAACATTTTTCGTTCACTTTTTTTTTTCATTTTTCATTTTATTTCTTTTCCCTCCGGTCATATTTTTCTATTTCTTTTTTTTTTTTTTTTTTTTTTTTTTTTTGCATGTATTTTTCAAATCAGCTCACCCCGAGCCATAAGATGCAAGAGGCTGCTGGAAGAGAAATAGAAAAACATCGACCTTAGAAGGAACTAGAAACCCAATCCTAAACAGGAAACAAGGGATAAACATCTGTTCCATTTCAAAAGTCTTGGGAGGGGTGTGGACCGGAAGATAGATGAACCTATCTACTCATATTGAATAATAAAAAAAAAGTTAATAAATAAAATTTCAGAGATTAGGCGTGGACGTTAAAACTATAGGGATAGAGTCGATTTTAGAAGGAACCGGAAGTCCAATCTTTAACAGAAGCCAAGTGATAAACCCCTACTCCATAAAAAGTGTGAATCTGACGATAGGTGGACATATCTACTATTGAGGAAAAAATAAATGAAACATAAATAAATAGAGGAAAAAGTTCAGCGTTTATGCGTAGACGTTAAAAGAGTTGAAGTAGACATTAAAAGGAACCAATTGCCAATTTTCTTTTTCTTTTCCTCTTTTTCATTTTCTTTTTCCCGTTCTTCTTTTACTTCTTCTTGCTCCTTTTCTTCTTCCTCCTCTTCTTCTTTATTGATGGTTTTCCATCATTTCCATTTAATTGCTGTATCTTTCTTTTCTTTCGTCTAATTTAGCTTTTCTATTTTGTTGTTACCAATGTTTTTCTTCTTCTTCTTCTTCTTCTTCTTCTTCTTTTTCTTCTTCTTCTTCTTCTTCAGCGATGGCTTTTTCATCATTTCAATGTAATTACCGTCTCTTTCCTTTTATTTCGTCTGCTATGTTGTTGTCTGTTTTCTTTTACTTTATCTTCTTTCTTCTTTCTCCTTTCTTCTTCTTCTTCTTCTTCTTCTTTTTCCTTATTTATTTTCTCCTTCTTTTTGCCGATTTTTTTATCATTTTCATTTAACTGCTTTTCTTTTTCTTTCGTCTCCTTTACCTTTTTCATTTTGTTACCAACTTTCTTTTAGTTCTTTTCTTCTTCGTTTTCAACTTCTTCTTTATTTTTTTTCTTCTTCTTTTCTTCTTTTCTTCTTTCAGAGGATTTCTTTTTACATCCTCCTCATTTTCATCGATGTTGTTTTTCATTATTTTCATTTAATTGCTGCTCCTTTCTCTTTCTGATATCAATTTTCTTCTTCTTCTTTACTTTCTTCTTCTTTTTCTTCTTCTTTCTTCTTCGCTTCTTCATTTTCGTTGTTGATGAGTACTTCATTATTTTCATTCAGTTGCAGTTACTTTCTTTTTTTTTCTTCGTCTTTGTTACAAATTTCCTTTTCATTTGCTATTTCCTCTTCTTCTTCTTCTTCTCTTTCTTCTTCTTCTTCTTCTTCTTCTTCTTTCAAAAATCTAAACAATCTTCTTCTTCTTCTTCTTTTCTTCTTCTTCTTCTTCTTTTCTTCTTCTTCCTGCATTTGTCCTACTTTTATCTCCTCTTCATTTGCATTGTTGAGTTTTTCAATACTTTAATTTAATTAAAAAAAACCTTTTTTTTGCTACTTCGAAACTATTTCAACCAATTCTTTTTCTTCTTCTTCTTCTTCTTCTTCTTCTTCTTTTTCTTTTTCTTTTTCTTCTTCGATTTATTCTTCTTCTTTAGTCATGGTTGTTTCATTATTTTCATTTAGTTGCTGTTACTTTTTACTTTCGTCTGATTTATCTTTTCTATTTTTTGTTATAAATTTTCTTTCTTCTTCTTCTTTTTCTTCTTCTTCTTCTTCCTCTCCTTCTTTATTCATGTTTTTCATCATTTTCATTCAATTGTTGTTCTTTTTTTCTTTCTTCTTCTTTAGTATTTCTATTTTGCTGTTACTAATCTTCTTTTTCTTTTTCTACTTCTTTTTTCTTTCCTCTTCTTCTTCTTTTTCCTCCTCTTCTTTTTCTTATTTATTAATGATTTTTATTTATTTTCATTCAATTGTTGCTTCATTCTCTTTCCTCTTCCTTATTTTTTGTATTTTGTTACCAATCTTCTTTTATTCTTTTTTCATTCATTTGATTTTTCCATTTTTTCTCTTCTCTTCTTTATTCAATCTCAGTCTTTTTTTTTTTCTTTTCGATCCTTTGTCATTACTCTGTCTCTTTTCTCTTTCCTCTTATGGATGTTCTCCTCCTCCTCCTTTTTTCTTCTTTAATAAATGTCCTCATTCTTATTTTTCTTTCCTATTCTTTTTTCCACTTTCATTCCTCTAATTTAATATTTCTTCTTCTTATCTTTTTATTTCCAATTTTTAAATTTTTCTTTCTTATTCTCATCGCTGTACACGTATTTCTTTCTTTATATTGCTTTCTCTTTCGTCTTTTCCTTCTTTTGTTTCATTATTTCTTTTTCTTCTATTTTATATAACTCTTCATATTCCTCTTTTTCCTTCTTGCTTTTTCCTTTTCTCGTTTTTTTTTTTCATTTATCTTTATTGCTGGTCTTCTTCTTGCGGCCATATCAGATTGAAACACCGGTTCCCGTTTGATTACTGAAGTTAAACAATGTCGAGCCTGGTCATTACATAGAGGGATAACCGCTTGGAAATGTTGTAAATTTTGATGTGCTTTTGAGGTAAAGGATAACGGTGTGGAGTTGTTAATCGAAGAGGTGAGTTCCAATTCTCGTTGGCTTCGTTATATTCACTTACACACAAATTAGCCTTGGGAAATGTATGAATGCGCCTCTTTTCTACCCAGATATGGGTTAATTAGTAAGACTTGTATCCCTGAACAATTATTACGTCCCAAAAACTTAGTCCCTGTCTAAAAGTTCAGGGTATCCATAAAGTGTATACAATTTAAAAAGAAATACAAGGTAACCAAAAAGTTCTGTCCGTTTTAAAAGGTAAAAAAGAAAACGCTTCACAGTATGTGTAACTTATATTTAGTCTTCGAAGTAATCGCCATCGGCATCCAGCACCTTCTGCCAACGTGTCTCCAGCTGTCCAATGCCCTTGCGGTAGAACTCGGGAGGTTTTGACGCAAAGATGTCCGTGAGGGCTTTGCAAAAGTCTGCTTCATTGGTGAAGGATTTCCCACGAAGATGATTATCCAAGGAGTGGAAGAGGTGGTAATTGGATGGCACAAGGTCAGGTGAATAAGGTGGATGGCACAAAGTCTCCCACCCAAGTTGCTGTATGGTATCCCTGACCACTCGCGCGACATGCGGCCTGGCGTTGTTATGGAGGAAAAGCACACCTTTGCGATTCACCAGTGCTGGATCCTTCTGGCGCAATGCCTGTTGCACACGTTTCAATTGCTGCGAGTATAGGTCTCCAGTGACCGTTTGGCCCGTTGGTAGCAGTTCATAATGAACCACTTGACGACCTGTCCACCAGACACAAAGCATAATCTTGCGTGGGTGCATAGGCGGTCTTGCGGTGTGAGGGACAGCATCCTGAGGAGACAACCAATGTCTGGAACGCTTGGGAGTTTCGTACAGAACCCACTTTTCATCACTGGTAAGCACTCGATTGAATAAGGATGCGGTACGGTGGCGAGAAAGCAGCGATACGCAGGCTGCCACTCGTTGTCCCTTGTGGACCTCCAACAGCGTTTGCGGAACCCACTTGCTCAGTTTGTACGTCTTACCTAGGCGGTGCAGGTGAAGTCTAACTGTTTCATCGGAAACGTTGAACTGTCTTGCAAGTTCACCACACGTTAGACTACTGTCCTCTTCAATGGCCGCCTTCAGGACTCCGTCATTCAAGACCTGTGGTCGTCCACTGCGAGGCTCATCATGGAGAGACAAATCTCCCGACTTGAATTTTCGAAACCAACGCCTTGCAGTACGTTCATCCACAGCACTATCCCCAAACGCTTGACATATGCGGCGACTTGATGCAGCTGCTGATAAGCCCACTTTGAAGTCGTAAAGCAAACAGCCCCGAACGAGATCTCTAGACACTTCCATCCTTCTCACAGCTGTCCGGCTTATAACTGATGGCCGGGCACGGTGCGCGTGTTTTTTATAACGTCTGATGTTCCTACTTCCGGCTGTCCGAATTTGAAAACAATTGCTACACGCATTTCGTATATATTTCAACTTCATTCAATGACTAATCAAAAAACGGACAGAACTTTTTTGGTTACCTTGTATATTACTCAGTAGTTATCAAAGTTTTTAATCACATAGTGTATTTAAGGTCTCCTGTTGATGAAAAAGGTACTATTATATATATATATATATATATATATATATATAAATAGTAAATTGGAATTCAACACACACACACACACACAGATATATATATACAGTGTAAGGACGATATAAAGAAACCCGGATATAAGAGATTTTATCTGGTCCCAAAGTGTTCCTATACTTACCTAAACAAAATAGACCAAACCGGATATAATAAACTTTCGATATCTGTTGTCAACCTCCTTGTCTCATCTCCATCTGATGTGATATATATATATATATATATATATATATATATATATATATATATATATATGGATATAATTAATCATTCATTGGAAAAAACCGAAATCTAATCCATCTTGCAATTAATATGTTAAGGATAATGTCAACGTCGGACGTTTCAGTCTAATAGCCTAATTCAAATTATTAGTGAAACAATTTCGCCATTAATTATTTTAAATTCAACATTAAATTGATCTTTTTTTTATGACTAATCCAAAGTTTATGAAATATTTTTTTTCGTTTTCAAATTATATATATATTTATATATATATATATATATATATATATATCTATTTTTTTATATTTAAACATTATAATCTAAAAGATTATATATATATATATTATATCATAATTATATATATATATATATATATATTTTTATGTATATATATATATATATATATATATATATATATATATATATATATATATATATTAATACCATGATAAATATTATGCCCAGAAAATATATATATATATATATATATATACATATATATATATAATATTTATTTATATGAAAAAATATATATACAAAGGCACATTGATGAGATATATATATATATTTTATAGGTATCCTTAAATATGAATATATATATATAAAAATGATATATATAACATTATAGGCCGGTGGAGTAGAAAGGATGGCGCAGTTCCTTGGATAACTCGTTCACCAGGTATCATTCCCCTGGACTTCTTTCTATGGTTTTATGTTATAGATATCGTATATCGAACACTCTTCATAACTGATTTAAAAGGAAAAGATCACTGATGCCATTGCCGCCATTGATGTGGCTATGCCTCAACAAACATGTCGACAGCGTGCATTTAATTAGTTTAAAAAAATGTTCATTTTCTAACAATTTCCACATATTTGTCTGTTCATTTGTTTTTGTAATTTTATTCAAATTGTAAACAGACTTTATAGACACCCTGCGTTTTCTGTTTAAATAATCTACAAAGGCTATATAACCCGTAGAAAATGAGACACTCAATCGAACTTCTTCTTCTTCTTCTTCTTTTTTTTCATCATCATCATCATCTTCATCATCGTCATCATCACCATTGTCACTTCTTTCCTCTCTTTCTCTCTTCTCTCTCTCTCTCTCTCTCTCTCTCTCTCTTTCTCGTCCCAACCTGGTGAAACTGAGGAACACTGACAGTTACCTTTTTTGAATAATAATAATAAAAAAAAAACTGAAACAATTCCAGTTTATTTAAATTAACATATAGAAAAACAGGACAGTTTTTTGTTTTCAGGGAACTCAACAAAATATAACCCTTTCATTTTCTTTCTCTCTCTCTCTTTCTACAACACTCTATCTCACACTCTCTCTACCGATCTATCACAGGCTGTTCATTATCTATCTATCTATCAAAATCTATTTATCTATGTTTCATTCATCTATCTATCTATCTACATATCTATCTTTCTCTGTCCATATCTATGTATCTATCTATCAAATCTCTTCTTCATCTATCTAAAACAAAACTCTAGTTGATCTATAATCTATCTATAAACATCTATCTATCTATTTGACTCTTCTCAAATCAAATTCATCTAAAAAGCTCTTCTTCATCTATCTGAAAAAACTGTAGTAGATCTATCTATCACAATATCTTAAATTCTATCTCATATCTATTATATTTTTTATTCATTGTCTATCTATCTATATATATATCTTCTGTCTCTCTCTCATCTATGTGTGTCCATTTTTGTTCATTATCTATCTGACTGTTCATATCTATCTATCTATCTATCTATCTATCTATCTATCTGTCTATCAAAACCTCTTCATCTATCTATCACAAACTCTAGTTGACCTATCTATCTATCTATCTATCTATCTATCTATCTATCTATCTATCTATCACAAGTTCTTCTTCATCTATCTCTCTGTCCTTCTGTTCATCTAGGTTTCTATCTATTTTGTTCAAATAATTATTTGCCTGGTTGTGCTCTCGTTCTCAGAATCTTGAGAACTTTGTGCTCTTTCAACCGCACTTTCCCCCTTTCTTTCAAGTATATTGTCTTTTATTTTATTTGTTCACCCATTCCTTTCAAAACAAATACTCTCAATGCAGGTGAATATATACAATGGGGCTTTTATATATATGCATTTAATTATATATATGTATGCCATGATCGAAACCAGAAATAAAAACACCTCTGATTAATTGAGTCGATGTCTAGATAGCCGATGGACAAAATTATCATTTCTAACTTGACAAAAGCAATTGCATTCAAGACCTGTCTTTCATTAATGGAAATTTTTTTTTTTAAAAAAAAAATGTTTACCATACCATTTTTATATAGGTAAACAGGTATACAAGACAATCTACACACACACACACACACACACACACACACATATATATATATATATATATATATATATATATATATATATATATGAAAGAACATTATTGACAAAGTTTATAACAAAGTTATGTTAAAATTATATATATTTTGAAACGTTTCGTCCTTCAGTATTTCATCGGTATCTAAATTGGTTATGTTAGTTCGACTTTCATGCGCATTCAAAAGGGTGCTAGGATATTCCAGATTTTTTTTTTTTTTTAGAATTTTAAATTTTTTAACCCGAAATCTAAATACAGTATTTAAATTTTCATTATTGTAATGATAGAAAAATCTCTTGGAAAACCATGAAATAATGTAAAATCTTATGGCGCAGAACTACTGGTGATGATTTTCTATGATCAGACCGTAAATGAATTCGATTAGATAAAATTATAAAAATACTACTAGGTACAAATTATAAAAAAAATATTTTAAATTGGCATTCTTTATCAAAAAACCACTTTAAAACTACTCCAATGTATAATGTATTACATCATTTATAGCTGAACTTTTTCTGTATAATTTCCTGCCACTGTAAATGAAGGTCTTATTTCATGTCAATATGATTTATTAAAAT